GCCGCGCCGCAGTCTCCGCTCCCTCCCTAGGAAGCCCGGGCAGACGGGCGGTGGAGCCCAGGGGCTGGGGGCGGGGATCCAGGGACTACGCGCGGCCCCGACCTCCGCATTCCTTACGGGTGTCTAGACATTCCCTATGACAGCCCTGCACCCTAAATCTGCCTCTCGTCTCCAATCCCCACCCTCATCTCCCTCTCTCCTGGGCACACCTTGGCATCTCCTAGAGCCCTCAGAGCCCCCTCACTCACACTCCAGTCCTCCGATAAGCCACAGACCCCCCAGTCTCTCCTGGATGCTCCCAAAGGCTTCCACCGCCCTGAAATTCCTCTGACCCTTCATGCCCCCCATTCTCCTTGCGCCATGCCCAAGTCCAGAATCCGTGCCCACGTCCCCCAAGCCCCGCATCCCGCCCTGTGTAATCCTCCCCCAGTGGGCCATCTGACGATATGTGCTGCTGTCTCAGGAAGGGGGCAGGAAGAAGTGACCATTTGCACCTGACCATTCTTGGTTTTACTGCTGACTCTGTTGGTGGCTCAAGCCCCAGTGTTGTCCCAGCCACCTGTCTTCAGTCTGTGCACACCTCCCCCAGCCTGCTTCCTCCTACCAGAGGAAAAGATTGGGGGTCTTTTTATCTGGAAGTGTCCAAGGATGCACAGCGTAAGGGATTCTGGAAATTACTTTTTTCCAGAGTGGGAGGGTGGGATTTCAAGGGTCTTCAGAGTCCTGGGCTTGTTGGCTTATCTATCTAGGGCTTAGATACGCTGACATTTTGACTTAATGACATTATTGTTAAAAGTAGGCCTTTCATGAGAACAGCAGTTGGCGTAATGGCTATGTCGCTGAACTCCCATGTAGTTGACTTTGGTTCAAGTCCCAGACCCGGTGTCTTAAACTCACACTGGCGCATGTGCCTATGTGCCCAAGATACTGAGAGGAGAATGGAGGAGAAGGGATTGCAGGGTGGCCATCCCCCCTGGGCGGTGATTTCTTGCTTTCTATCTCTCTGTCTCTCTCTGTCTTTCTGGAGAGCGCAAGTGCAGTATAGCGAAAACCTCCCCCCCCCAAAAAAAATTAGGCCTTTTGGAACTTTTGGAACAGAAAGTCTATTAAGGTTCCAAATGTGGGGCCAGGAGGTGGCGTAGTGGTTAAGATACTGGACTCCCACGTGGTTGACTGCAATTTGAGTCCTGGATCCAGTGGATTGAAACTCATGCCAGGTACATGTGCCTGCGTGCCCAAAATCCCAAGAGAAGAATGGAGAAGGGATTGTAACGCCACCATCCCCCCCCCATCTCTCTCTCTGTTTCTCTGGCAAGTGTTTGTGCTCTATAACAAAACCCTCTCTAAAAAAAACCAAAAAACTTCTAAATGTGAGATTAAAGGAGCCTGTCTAGGGGACCAGCAGATGGCTTAATGATTAGGTTGCTGGACTCCCACATATCGACCACAGTTCAAGTCCTGGACCTGGAGGCTTGAAACTTAGGCTGGGCCTGTGTGCATGCATGCATGCCCAAAATCCCAATAGGAGAAGGGGACTGTGGTGTGGCCATCTGCCCCTGGGGGGCGGGAATTCTTGCTTTCTGTCTCTCTGGCAAGCACACACACCCTATAGCAAAATCTTTCTCTTTCTAAAAAAAGAAAAAAAAAAGGAGTCTGTCTGGGAAGAGGAAAATATCCATTTTAGTGATATTTATCTTACCTAGCTACCTCTAGAAATCAAGGTAGATGCTCCACAGTTTACAGATGTTTCTCCTAAAAACTAAGGCCTTGAGGTAGGAGTTGGGGGAGGATTGACCCAGTCTTACAGATCCTTGGTGGCAACCAGGCTGACTAGAACATTGACTTTCTGAGTCTTAAGCCAGTGCTCTTGCCAGTATAGCATAGTGGCCTTTTTAAATAAGCTCTTTGTAGAGCTGAAGTTCTCTGCAAAGGTTAGGTGGCATTTTTGGTGTTGGTTGTAGGGGGATTCAGAGGGGGATCTAAAAGTGGCTTAAACGGTCTTGGGCAGGGCCAGCAGGTGGTGTGGTGGTTAAGGGCTCTGGATTCCCACGTGGCTGACAGTGGTTCGAGTCCCAGACCTGATGGCTTGCTTTCTCACTTTCTCTCTCTCACTCTCCCCCTAACCCCTGGTCAAATTAAAATAAATGAATAAAGTTAAATAATTCTTTTTTTTTTTTTTTTGGAGAGGTTTTCGCTATAGGGCACGTGCGCTCACCAGAAAGACAGAGAGAGACATAGAGACGGAAAGCGAGAAATCACCCCCGGGGGAATGGTCACGCCGCAATCCCTTCTCCTCCATTCTCCTCTCGGGATCTTGGGCACGCACGCACACGTGCCCAGCGTGAGTTTTAAGCCACCGGGTCCGGGATGCGAACCGCGGTCAACTACGTGGGAGTCCAGTGACATAGCCATTATGCTAACTGCTGGTTCCCAATAAAGTTAAATAATTCTTTAAGAAAAAAGATGATGGGCTGTCTCAGACCTCAAGCTCATTGATGTTAGAAGAGACTTTCTCTCTCAGGGCTTGGAGCTGGTGGTCCCTTTGCCCTCAGTCACTTTCTTCGTTGATGTTTCTGTCCCATTAGGACCTGGCACAGATTTCCAGCAGGGATGGACTGGCAGCAGGTCATGTCATTAAGAGTGGAGGATGAGGATAGATTTCCACTAATCTGTGGTCTCTGTCTCCTCTGCTAGGTGAGCCCAGGTGTGTCCCAGAGGGATCCAGGTGACTTCTCTGCAGACTGTTTGCCATGACACTCCACCAAGGACAGGGAGAATAGAGCGGGAGTCCTTCCCCATGCCCCTCCCATGGTCAGCTCCCCGATGGCCTGGGTGAGGTAAGAGCTGGGCGTAGGAGTCCATTTTCTGGAGTTTTCCAAGTTGGGAGGGTGTAGGTCACTGCATCATTTGAGACTGTACCCATTCAGTGGGAGTTCTAGAACAGCTAATCCTGCAGACTTAGGTCTTGCATCAAGTTGCAGCTCCTTAAAACTCTGGTCGGGATCCGTCTGCAGTTCCTGCTCCCATAGGTCACTTAAGTGTGAGTGGTGTCCTCGCCATCTGAGGCACAGGTCTGAGTGCTGTGACACATAATCCAGAATCCTGGAGCGAAAAGTAAAGAGTAAGGCCCTTGGGCTCCCCTTCAAACAAATGGGAGCAAATCCTGCATTTTTGTAAATGGAGAAGTACTTCATTAAACTTAGACATCTCTTGCTGTTTTAAATGTTCAAACTTTTGAATGTCTCTTTGTGATAATAACGTGACAACTCATTTGAAGAGAGCATCAGAAAGATGATTTGAGGTCGACATTGGGATGATGGTGAGGGAGGATAAGGGAGAATCTAGATGGGATAAAAAAAATAAAAAAGAAGGGAAGAAAAGAAAGTTATGGGCCAAAGTGTCTGGGACGCCCAGTAGTAGTTCCCCTGTGGCATCCGAATGAGGAGCTCAGGCAGGCACCCAGTTCCTTCTGATACAGATCGCTCTGGGCCCCTACGCGGGTCCATGCCCTTTCGCCCGCGTGGACTCCCTTCTCTCGCACCGCCTGGGTCAAACACACTTCTCAAGGTCCAGATCAAATGCTCTCTGAGCAGCTCTGTCCCCTCGTCAGCACCGAATGAACTCACCCTGGCCTCATGTGTGTCTGGCCCTGGACTGAGAGTGAATTCCTTGAGAGAGGGTCTGTGTCACCGTCTGCCGAACAGGGTAGGCGATCCCGCTGAGAGACGGTTTCACCCGGGTCCCCAGGGCAGCCTGTGGGGCTGACGTCAGTGACCTGCCTCTGCCTTCTGTCTGATCCTAGGGCAGGCTGGCCGCTCTGACACCATGGGGAGCTGCTGCAGCTGCCTGAACAGAGACAGCATCCCAGACAACCACCCCACCAAGTTCAAGGTACCCGGGGCCCCTCTCCCCCTGCACGCCCGACGTGCCTTCTGGAGGCACTGAAATGGCAGGAGGCCGTGTTGTGCCCTCCAGCTCATGGCCTCTGAGGTGGCCTGAGGAAAGGACACCCCGTCACTGCTGTGTTTTCGGCTCTTCCTGCTGCCAAGAATAGCAGCAAAGATGGTCCTTTTAGAGCATTCACTTCTGTCCACGTATTTTTGTTACTTTAAATATACCTTTTTTGGAGAAAACAACAAAAGTCAGTATTTGTGAGTTAATATATGGCATTTAAAGTAGTGCTTACTTAGCTCATGGTAAGAACTGTTTGCTTTGGAAAGCTAAGGCCAGGCCTACCCGACTCGTGTACCCCCGGTCCCCGGTCAGGATCTCCTACCTCCCTGTAGGGGGAGCCTTCTCTTCACACTGGGGCCTGTTGAGGCCTGTGCTTCTTACCAGAAGAGCCAGTCCCCAGCAGGTCTTACTTTTTCGTGGGCGGGGCATGGAGTCAGTGTATATTTCTTCTGCCTTGGTTGACTTTCCTCAGGGTCTTCAGACCTTTTTTTTTTTTTTTTTTAAGGCTTTTGCTATAAGGTGCATGCACTCACAGGAGAGAGACATAGAGAGGAAAGTGAGAAATCACCCTCCAGGGTGATGGCCACCCTGCGGTCCCTTCTCCATTTTCTTCTTGGGATTTTGGGCATGCACACACATGCACCTGGCATGATTTTCAAGCCATTGGATCCAGGGCTTGAAACCTGGTCAGCCCTGAGGGAATCTGGCACCTTAACCATCATGCCCTTGGTTGGTCTCATTAAGATTTTGAATTTGCAGTGGAACCCTACCTCACTGAGGTCCGGTCCTTGGATACTAAGCTGTGGGCTGTCCAGGGTGGTTTAACTTTGGCCATCTAACCATCAGTCCTTGGAGGTCAGCTACTGCCCTCTTCTCTCACTATCCAAATAATAAAACTAAGGCTCAGAAAGGAGGAGTTTGCCCAGAGAGCCGCCCTGGTCCGTGGCACTGAGTGTACCCCAGCAATCATGTGGCATTCAGTGAGGGACCTCAGTCCCCCAGCTCCAGCCCTGCATCAGACTGCCTCCCAGGGACCCACAGAAGCCCTCGTTGGACTCACCCATGGGCCTCCTGTCCCCTCCTCAGGTGACGAATGTGGATGACGAGGGGGTGGAGCTGGGCTCTGGGGTGATGGAACTGACTCAGAGCGAGCTGGTGCTGCACCTGCACCGGCGGGAGGCCGTCCGCTGGCCCTACCTCTGCCTGCGGCGCTACGGCTATGACTCCAACCTCTTCTCCTTTGAGAGTGGCCGCCGATGTCAGACAGGCCAAGGTGAGTACCAGCCCTGGCCCCCACCCGGGATAGGAGCTTGTGCACCTGAGGCAGACCCTGGGCTGAAAGGTGCAGCTTGGGGAACTGAGGGAGGGTCTGTCCTAGGATTTGAAGGTGGGTATTTACACCCAACCTGACCCTCAGACTGCACAGATTTGTCCAGAGAGGGAAGACGTCTTGGCTAGGGGCACACGGTGCGTAGTCACAGAACTAAGTGGACTCCCAGGCCGATGCTCTTTCTCGTCAGTCACTGCAGTTCCGGCCTGGGTCCAGCGTGGCGACAGTCATTGCACAGCCTGTGGGAAGGAGCCCGTGCTCCCAGGCCAGAGCCTGCCTGGCAAAAGCAGTGACTCCTCCTCCCCCATTACTCCAGTTTCAAGGGACGTTTTTGTCCCCAAGTAGGAACAGTCTCCTTTATGAGGCCTCAAGTCATGCACCCTGGCTTCCGTGAGTAATGAAGGAAAGTCAGGCAGGTGACTGGCTGCTGCGGGGCTGAGGAGCCCGGGAGCAGGAGATCCCTCATGCACAGGTGAGCCCTCAAGAGCTCCATCTTCATCTCCCGTCACCTGTGGCATGTGGAACGTGGTATTGCAGCTCCTCTCTCTCCCTGCAGCCAGAGGGGTGGGTTGTGCTCTGAGGGCAAAGCTAGAGCCAGCCTTGGCTATCCAAAGGAATAACGTGGTGAGCTTATCTTTAAGGATCCAGACATAAGATCTGCCGAAGGAACCCTGTATGGGAGTGTGTTAAATGCGGTTCGGGGCTAGGACTGTGCAGAGGTGGAATGAGGGATCGTCTCTCATAAGGCTGCCAGCTGAACCGTGCGTGGTCCGTGAGGCCGCGAGTGCTGCCCTTAGAGCTTGGAAGGCAAAGCAGGTGGCACTGGGTGAGCAAGAGAGTAGGAAGAGGCTTCCTCGCTCCTGGCGATGTTCGATCTACACTTGGGATTCCAGAGGGGCTGGCCTGTCACCAGGTGGTTAAAGGAAGCCAGAGGGGCTGCCCTGACAGAGCTCTCTAACTGCGGACTTGCCTGGTCTTCTCTAACCCTCAGTGTATCTGGCCAGGCAGTCCTTTTTCTTCTGCTGTATCTCCTCCATCCCATTCCCACAAACTGCACTTGCTCCGACTCCAGCCTAATGTGTTTATCGTTGTTGCGGCTGTGTGTCCATCCACAGGCCCCACGTCCTAGGTCTCCCAGGGACAGGGGAGTGAGACTCTCGGGCTGGCCCATCACCTCATCTTCGGATCCCGAGTTACGGTGCTCTTCTGAGCTCTGTGGTTCCCCGGACTGTGGGCTACAGTGTTGGCGTTTGAAGGCCGTCAGGCTGGCTGCAGGGGTCTTGATTGCCGCGTCATGTTTGCCTGCCCCGGCCTGCCCATCTTTTTCTGCCTTCTGCACTAAAGACTAAGCTCTCTGCACTCAGGGACCTGTGCACAGGTGGCATTCACTCTCTGACCAGGCCCTGAGCTCAATATCCAGGGAACAAGGAGTGAGCAGGCCAGACCCTGCTCTCAGAGCACCACTGGGCTTAGAGCTGAAGGCTGGACCCTGGGGGAGCAGGGGAGGTAGGCAGAGGAGGACCCAGAGGCTTCTCTCCTCTAATCTGTCCTTTCCGCTCTGGCTTCTCTCTCTTTCTCACCCTGAACATCCACCTTGACCTCAGAGGGATACAGCTGGAGTTTAGGTCTCAGGGCAATGCCAACAGATAGGCCAGGTGTGGGCCCAGCCCCTCCAGTGACCCTGGGACTCTTGAGTGTACCTGGGAAGGTGCTCAGCATGCGGGAGGCTCTCCTGTCCCCTGCAGGCCTGGGACACCGTTCAGGAGCATTCCCACACTTCGTACATCTGTCGAGCTCTGGTCTCGGTTGGGCCTGAGGTCAGAGGAGCCTCACCTCTTCCTCTCCTTCTCTAGGGATATTTGCATTCAAGTGCTCCCGGGCTGAAGAAATCTTCAACCTCCTTCAGGATCTGATGCAGTGCAACAGCATCAACGTGATGGAAGAGCCGGTCATCATCACGCGCAATAGCCACCCCGCTGAGCTTGACCTCCCTCGGGCCCCCCAGCCACCCAGCGGTGAGGACACCCCGTGCACGCACACACAGGCACGGGCCAGGAAGCACTAGTCTGCCAGGCAGTGGGGGCACGGCTGGATGATTCCGCCTTCTAGAACTCCCTCATCAGAGTCCCTCTGGGGGACGGAGCGGTCCTGGCCTGGACCAGTCGGGTAACACAGGCCGAGGCATAGAGTCCTGGGACTTGTAGTGACTAATGTCAGGGAGCAGGCAGAAAACATCGGGTTTCCATGGCAACAGTCCGGAGCTTTCGCCTCCTTCCTTCCACCTACTGGGTTGGGCCCATCCACTTTTCTTGGCTGCTGGTGTGGCATCTCGGGCTGCAGCTGCTGTCTCCAGAGGGTCCATGGTTCTTGCTGTTCAGTCACTGAGTTCGACCGGACACTGGCTCAGTGTCCTGCCCACTCTGGGCTGGCCTGTGGGGGGATGGAAGAAATGGAAACATAGTCCCTGGTTTTGGGGAGCCTCCCTGGAGCTCGCAGTCGAGCTAGCATGATACAATGAGGTGAAGGAGTGGCCCAGTGGTGGCAGGTGTACCTTCAGGTGAGGGGTGGGCTGTCCTCCGAGGGACAGGGAGAGCTAGAAGAGCAAAGAGGAATGACGGGGGTTCACTGGGGCTGGCCACCACAGGCCCAGAGAGTGCCTCCCCGGAGAGGGCCCGTCGCACACGCACACTCGGTTGCGTGACCGTCAGGTGGCTCGGTACCCCTCACCTGGGTTTCTGCCCTGTGCCCAGCTCTAGGCTACACTGTCTCCAGCTTCTCCAATGGCTTCCCTGGCTGCCCGGGGGAGGGCCCTCGATTCTCAGCTGCCCGGCGGCCCTCCACAAACAGCCTGCGACACACCTCGCTTGGGGAGGAGTCCACTCACGCCCTCATTGCCCCCGACGAGCAGGTGAGCACACAGCCAGCCAGCCCGCCCTTGCCTCACCGGTCTAGGTCGGGGCAAGGGTAGGAGGCCACCTCCTCCCAGAAAGGGTCATGGGAAGGGGACGAAAACTGAGAGGGTCCTTCTGTCCTCAGAAAGGGAGGCAGCTCCCCTGGGTGAGGAGACAAGGAAGAGGAGGCCCTAGTCCTTGCCCAGGGCTTCTCTTCTCTCACCCTGTCCCTTCTGCTCTTCCCTCCTGCCCCCGGATCCTCCTGCCTCCCCTGAACGCCTTCCCCTTGCAGTCCCACACCTATGTCAACACACCGGCCGGTGAGGGCGAGGAGGACCGCAGCAGGAGCCAGCACTGCCTGCAGCCCCTGCCCGAGGGGCGCACTCCCTTCCCTCCACAGGCCCGGGCCCTGGGCCAGCGGGACCCGCAGGTGTTCTTGCAGCCAGGCCAGGTGAAGTTCGTGTTGGGCCCAACCCCTGCTCGGCGGCACATAACGAAGTGCCAGGGCCTGTGCCCCAGCCTGCATGACCCCTCCCACCACCACAACAACAACAACGAGGGCCCCTCCGAGTGCGCCGCCCAGCCCAAGTGCACCTACGAGAACGTCAGCGGGGGCCTGCGGCGAGGGCCTGGCTGGAGACTGGGCCCCAAGGAGCCGGCCTGGAGCAGCCTTGCCCAC